AGATACGGGGGGGGGGCGGGGGGTGGGGGGGTGGGACGAGGGAGCGGGAGTTCATGGCCCACAGATGAGTTTGTTGCGCTCAGTAGCGTGGGTGTAGGGAAGGGGGGGGAGGGGCGAGGGGAGGAGGACGGGAAGGAGAGACGGATGCGTCTATGAGCTGGGCCTACGAGCGAGCCCCCATCTCGGCCATGGCCTGGGTGGCGAGGGCCTTGCGACGGTTGGCCTCGCCGAGGCCCGAGGCGACGCGCAGGTCGGACGAGATGATGTCGTTGGTCTTGCCAAAGTAGATCTGCTCGAGCGCATTCCGCATCTTGGACTCCATCTCCTCGACAAGTTTGCCGATGTTGACGATGTGCGGGGCGGACGAGTCCTGCGACGAGACGTTGGCGTCCGAGGTGGCCTGGCGGGTGAGCGAGCCGGAGAGGTTGACGTCGTCGCAGCCCGGAACGTTTGTGATTAGGCTGAGCATGATGGTCGAGGTGATCTTGTAGTGGACGTCGGCACCGTTCTCCTGGACCTCGACAACATGGATCGAGTCCCACGAGCCCTTGGCGCCCTTCTTGCCGGAGCCGTCCTCGGTCTTCTTGATGAGGACGACACAGGCAAAGCCCGAGTCGAGGTCCCAAGCATAGACCGACGACACGCCACCCTCGTAGTAAAGCGAGCGGTATGTGTCAAAGACCCCGTTGGCCTTCTCCTCAAAGGTGCGGAGGCGCTCGGACGGGAAGGTGCCGTCGTAGTCAAGCGGCGGGTTGTACGCGTTCGACCACGGCGAGCGGTACGAGTCTCCGTCGCGGTTGTAGTCGCAGAGCAGATAGTCCTTGCCCGACGCCTCGTCCTTCTCGACACGCAGCGGCTGGTCGACGGCCGAGAGCAGCTCGTCCATCAGGTCCGGCACAAGGTCAATGACGCCAGCAAGGTTCTCCTCCACGTCTGCAGGCGGAAGCCGCCGCATGAGGTCCAGCGCACAGTCAAGCTCATCCATGGTGGTGCCTATCCCACACCAGTATGTACCGGTCATGTCATCTCGTGAGTCACTGGTCGTCAGAGAGCGAATGCTACCAGGTACGAGCGTTGCCAGCAAGTGGTGGTGGCGTTGTCAGAAGCTCTGCCGCCCCGCCCCCGCCGCCACCGCCACCGCCAGAAATTCGCAAGAAACCAAAGGGCGGGCCACGTTGCCTACATGGGTGACGAGGCGAGGACAAGCAGGTCATGGCCATCATACTACACATGGTTATGTAGTGCGTGACACAAGGTATGTCATGGTGGGGGTGGGAGGGGCAAGGGGTAGGTGGCTGACCCAGCCGAGGCTGGTGTCCCCCTAACCCGCCTGAACGATCACCACCTTTACAAAAAAGGTCGTCACCGAAAGCCTGTGGGGGGTAGAGGGGGGGACATGGGGGGTGTGGAGAGAGGGAAGGCAGGGGGGGGGGGGGGTAGGGAGGAGGGAGGGGGGAGGAGGGGAGGACAGGGTAAAGCGGGTACTGAGTCTGTGGTAGTGTGGCATTGGTGTACGTACAGAGGAATTGAGAGAGGGTGGCTCCCTTGACGTTTCTGAGCAGTCGTTGGTTCTTCGCTGGGGAGGTGGCGAGGGGGAGGGGAAGGTATGATTAATTGTTGATGGGGGGGGAGAGGGGGGGGGGAGGGAAGGGAAGGGGCAGGGGAGGGGGGAATGCACGATTGTTGTCGGCTACAGATGGTCGATGTCGATGGCTTCAGACCCGCATCGGTTCTGTATTTGTATTGAATGGTGTTGGGCAATGTTGGGGAGAGCCCGGCTGACCAACGATTGAGCAAACGATTGATCAACTGGCCTCGCCTTGCCTCGCCTCTGCCGCAGCGCCGACCCCGACCCCCCTCCCTCCCCCTCGTAACGGAAGCAAGCTCGACAGGGAGATCTACCCACGGTAGGCCTTCAACAAGTCACCGAATACTATAACCAGACTAGCTACAAAGGATCAAGGCTAAACCTGGCATCATCGGTAAAGTCTGTAAGCCACAATGGGCGCCGTAGATTCGAGGACAGTGGTCGGGCGAGGTAGAGGCTGGAGAGTGCCAGTGCCAGTAGCGGGAGAGTATGGGCTAGTGGGAGGGCAGTGGAGGGAGAGAGAGCGAGTGAGTGACAGACTTGAGTGTGAGCCGAAGGATGCCCAGTGAGGACACAGTGCCCCTCATGATGCGGTCCGGGCCTCGGGCACGGCTGGAGGCCCTGCGCAAGGTATGGCGAGGCGGGCGGTGGGGAGGCGGGAGAGGCGGGAGAGGCGGGAGAGGCGGGGAGGCGGGAGACGGCGATGGCTCACAGGGGATGAACGTGTGGTGGTGGGCGGGGATAGGTGATGGAGGATACCAAGCCGGATGTGTCGGGAGTCGCGCCTATGGTGGAGGAGGGTGGCGCGGGAGCGGGGTCGAGCAGGTCGGGCAAGGTCAAGACGCCCAAGAAGGAGGCCAAGGCGAGCACAGCGAAGAAGACGGCTGCAAAGAAGACGGCTGCAAAGAAGACGGCTGCAAAGAAGACGGCTGCAAAGAAGACGCCGGCGAAAAGACGACGGGCAAGAAGGCGGCGAGCAAGGCCAAGAAGGAGGAGATCCCGATCCGCGAGTGGTGGAACGAGCCGCCGCTGAAGAACGGGCAAAAGTGGCGGTCGCTCCGGCACAACGGCGTGTACTTTGCGGAGGAGTGGAAGCCGCACGGCGAGCCGATCATCTACGATGGCGAGGAGATTGTGCTGCCGCCACTGGCTGAGCAGTACGCGACGCAGTTTGCACAGGTGAAGGACAACGAGAACTACGGGGCCAACCCAGTTTTCCGGCGCAACTTTTTCAAGGACTGGCGGAAGCAGTGCCTGGTGCCGGCCAAGCTTGGGCGGATCAAGGACATCAAGAAGATCGACTGGTCGCGGCTCATTGCGTGGTCTGAGGCGGAGAAGGAGCGCAAAAAGTCGCGGAGCAAGGAGGAGAAGGATGCAGAAAAGGCCAAGAAGGCTGCGATCAAGGAAAAGTATGGGCATGTGTGGATTGATGGCTTCCGCGAGGAGCTCGGCAACTTTACGATCGAGCCACCGGGCCTGTTCCGCGGGCGCGGCGAGCACCCGAAGCGCGGCTCGCTCAAGCCGATCACGTGGCCAGAGGACATCACGCTCAATATCTCGCGCGACGCGCCTGTCCCGCCGTGCCCGCTCGAGGGCCACAAGTGGGGCGCGATTGTGCACAACGACTCGGCGATGTGGATTGCCAACTGGCGTGAAAAGCTGTGCGGGCAGCACAAGTACGTGTGGGCGTCGGCGGGAGCGTCGATCTCGCAGCGCGGCGACATGGCCAAGTTTGACAAGGCCCGCGAGCTGCAGTACTACATCGACAAGCTCCGTGGTGACTACATGCGCAAGCTCAAGTCGAAGGACGCGACGTCGCGGCAGCTTGGGCTTGCGTCATGGATTGTCGACGTCCTTGCGCTCCGTGTGGGAATGGAGAAGAACGCCGAGGAGGAGGCCGAGACGTACGGCACGTGCTCGCTCCTTGTCGAGCACGTGGAACTGCTCGAGGGGCCCAAGCTCAAGCTCGAGTTTCTGGGCAAGGATTCGATGCCGTACACCAACACGGTGGATGTGCCCGAGGAGGTGGCGGCGGCGATGGGCAAGTGCCTCAAGGGCAAGGCGGCGACCGACTCGATCTTTGACTCGATCTCCCCGACGACGCTCAACTCGTACTTTAAGGAGTTTATGCCCGGCCTCTCGGCCAAGGTCTTCCGTACCTACAATGCGTCGGTGACGCTCGAGCGCGAGCTGGCCAAGTCGGAGGGCCTCAACCTGTCGATCGAGGAGGCGCGGGTGTTCTACACCAACGCCAACCGCGAGGTGGCTATCCTCTGTAACCACATGCGGACGGTCAACGAGGAGTCGTTCTCGGCGCAGGTGGACCGGATGCAGGAGCGGCTCAAGGCCGCGCGCAAGGCGCTCAAGGAGCGCAAGAACAAGACCAAAGACGCGCGGGCAACACTCAAAGAGGCCAAGGCCGAGGGCAAGCCCAAGGCGCTTGAGAAGGCCAAGAAGGCGCTCGAGCGCGCCAAGGCGCTCGAGACCAAGCAGGTCGGGCGGGTGAAGAAGATCGAGGCCGACATGGAGCTGAAGACGTCGACCAAGGAGATTGCCCTTGGCACGTCCAAGATCAACTACATGGACCCGCGGATCACCTACGCGTGGTGCAAAAAGGTGGGCATGCCTGTGGAGAAGGTGTTCAACCCGGCACTCATCAAGAAGTTCCCCTGGGCTGATGTCGCCGGCGAGGACTGGAAGTTTATCTGCCCTCGCGAAGTCTCGGGCATCAAGATCAAGCGGGTGGTCAAGAAGAAGAAGTCGACGGCCAAGAAGAAGTCGACGGCCAAGAAGAAGTCGACGGCCAAGAAGAAGTCGACGGCCAAGAAGAAGGCGACCGCGACCAAGAAGAAGAAGTCGACTGCGACCAAGAAAAAGTCGACCAAGAAGAAGGTGACCGGCAAGCGCAAGCGCGGGTCGGCGACCGCCAAGAAGGCCGCCGATGGCGACGACGAGGACGACTTTGTGGCCTCGGGCGACGACGATGATGCCTTTACACGGCGCAAGGATGGCGACTTTGTGGCCTCGGACGACGATGACGACCTTCCGCTCCGGTCGCCGGTCAAGCGCTCACGTCGCTCGAGGGCGGTGGTCAACTATGCCGTCGACGACAACGATGATGACGAGTAGGCGGCTCCATACGCAAGCAATGATACGCGCCCGCGCCCGCTGTATCCTGCAATACGCGCACAAGCTAAACTGCGATTCCACCCCACTGCCTGCAGAGCAGCTTCGATCCATGGTCTACCCGTGGTTGGGTGCCATGGTCGGATGCGTGGTCGGGTGCAGCCATTGTCTGCACCTGCCATCGTCTGGCCATGTTGGCGTGGTCTGACCATTGTCTGGCCATCGTCCCGGTCTTGAAAAATGGGAGAGG